AAACATAGAAGAGCCGCCATGTGCTCGGCTCTTCCTAGCTTCACCATTTGTTTGTGGAATATGCCCATGTACGTGCCCCCGACTCGAATGTCTAACACATCCCATTCCCCGTTGGTCTCTGCTACCTCACCGTCCATGCTAGTTACCTTACTCGTCGTTGTTGCTCCCCTGCCACGCTTTGCCATTCTCTAGTTCCCCTACTAACTATGTGATCTCACAACATGGGGAATAAGCTATTTATTTATAGTAGGCTGGCTAGTGACCAGCTATGTGTGTGGCAGGACATGTATAATCATTGCTTCACCAAATATCGCATGCCAACTTTTCTGATCGTTTAATTCTACTACGAGTGGTGTAGTTGTAGACATTTTGTAGCACACATGGCATATCTAAGTATGAGCAATTTAAGAGGAATGCTGCTAGTACACCATGGCAAATGAGCCATTCTGACTCAATCTATTATATGATTGAGGTGCTACAACTACCAATTCACCGCAGCAACCAAAAACTCCATTGTTTTTACGAAAATCGGAGGTGCCAAGTGCATAGCAACATGACCTTCGAAGGTCACAATTTGCTTGACTCCTCCATCACAAGGACAAGGCCTTGGCCACGAGTGACAACCGAAATTCCAAAATTTAAGAAAATGTGGGATCCGTTGGCGACAAGGATATGTCGTTTGCGTTAGCTAGAGAAGCCATGAGGGTTCCCAAGTAGAACTTGGTTTACTCACCTCCCGATATCGATTGGTTAAACAATAGTACATGTAAACCAATCAACATTAGATGAAGACAAACTAAATGCTCAGATAGGAAGTAGACTGGGTCCTAAGAAAAAAATGTGGCAGAGCACATTATGGACATAAGGTTCATGGAGATAGATGTTGTCTGTAAACAACTAAGCATAGAAACATGCTACTTCCTCCGTTGCCAAATACTCATCCTGGTTTTAGTTCTAATTCAAACTAAAACTACGATAAGTATTTTGGAACTGAGGGAGTACACTACAAGATAAAATAATCTTGATACAAAATAAACCATATCTATTAAGCATGGAAACACAGAACATTAGAAGATAAAACCAAGTACATATTGATAAGATTTGATTGAATTCATTTGACATGAATAGTCAATTTTCGGATCAACATTTCACAGGTAGATCCCGTAGCATGATTTCTTTTTCATGTTGCAAGTGTTCCTTTCAGGATGAAACTACAACATATAATATGCTCTTTTAACTAAACGTTTATCTGTATATCAATTCAAGTGACATCCAAATTGTAGTCGTAATTGATGACATATTTGTGGCCTTATGTCTTTTTCTTCAAAAAGAGAGGACTAGCAGTGGTTCCTTTGATTAATTATTACCTTCATGCTTTATGTGGGAATAATTGATGACATGTCGTTGGAGATTTCTGGATCCAATTTTATACTCGTGACAGATGCTCAAGTTTTTCTAGCCGTTAGCTAAAAAATCATGGAAAAGTTGTGGTGGAGCTCAAGTTCCATGGCACCTGTTTTACTGTTCATGTTTGCAGCCACCCTGCCACAGTTCGCAACGCTCTTGTGTTCTGCCATGCCATCCTGCTGCCCAACATTTATCTCCAAGCCCTCCATTTTCTTCTCCACTCCAAGTTTAATTTTTTTGACAGCTATGCCTGCCCTGGGCCTCCGGTAGTACTACCTCTATAAACTAATATAAGACCATTTAGATCACTACTTATATTAGTTTACAGATGGAGTAGTTATTTTCCTCTTATGTTGACCAATAGTTTTCTGCTTTTTTCCTATCTCTGGTATGAATTAGTTTGGAAAAATATCATGGTAGAAAGATGTACACAGTGAAAGATCTACCATCTTGCACTGATTTTGTGTCGGTGAGTAGTACATTTATGAGCATCGGAGTGACTTTATATCTGTATTGACTAGAAGGAAAATCATGAACTATAGTAAACAATTAGTATTGTGTATCTCTCATACATTTGGTTCAGACAAGTGGAATATGTAGTCAATGCCTTGTTCTCGAGATTGCTTTCATTTGCACTAGTGGAAAACTGGCTAGCGATAATTTTCGCTGGTGGCGCACCATTGTCAACCAACGCCAGCACTACGTTTTTCAAAATAGTGGTGGCGTTGACATATTTGATACTTCAACGTTATATGGTTAGTGTTGACGTTAATTTTTTTAACACGTCACCAATTTGTTGGCCCAGTTGTACTCACGTATTGAAAGATAGTGGTGACGTCGGATTGTTATGGACGCTGTAGTTAATTAGTATTGTTGGTGTGTTAACTTATGTTACGCCAGAAACATCTTTTATTTTATCAAGTGTTTTAAATATTTTTTTATTATTTAAAATGATGAAAATTTTATTATTTTACATTTTAAAATAATTAAAAAAGTTCGTGACATTTAAAAAACATCACATGTTTAAAATTTTCAAGTTACTTTATAGCAATAATGTAAAAAAAGTCAAATAGTTTGTAAAAATAGTTCATACCATTAAAAAATGTTCATGAAATTTAAAAACTATTTAAATATTTAACAATAAGTTTTCTGTCATTTTATTAAAAGAATAAGGAAAACTTATGAAAATTCCAATGTGTGTTTAATGTTCACTGTGCATTTTGTATACATAATATGTATTTGGAAAATGTTCAAAGTGTATCTAAAGATGTTCAACCTATATACGATGAATGTTCAACATGTATTAAACAAACCAATGTGTGTTATAAAAAACAGAATAAAAATAAAATAAAAACACATAAAGAAAATCAAAGAAAGGAAAAAAGAAAGAAAAACACATAGAACCTTACCAAAATAGGATGGAACGGGACCTTGGAAGCTTGCCAAAACTGCCCATGTCGCTGATCGTTGAGGTGAAGATTGCTACAGTCTCACATTAAGCGGGACCTAGCATTTGCACTATAGTAATGCCAGGCATCTTGGAAAACTTTTTGTTACATACATTATTTATGACATTAACGTGCCATATCATTCTACTTTGTTTAGTACCCTAGCAACCATTTACACTCATTTGCACATACGGTCTACATTATTAAATAAAATATCTAGATGTCCCTGCTGTCTTC